TTAGCTATAATCAGTTGAAATTGGTTTAGTTGATTTAAATTTCTTGGCGAAATAGGCAAGTGGTGCTCTTTTGAAGCTGAGTAAAGAGGCAGTCAGTTTAGTTAGAAGCTGAAATAGCATGTTTTTGTCCATTAGGTATTAAAATGAATTAGTGGAATTTAATAATACTATTGATATTTAATTCATGAAAGGCCAGATATCGAAACTAACTACAGAATATTTTAGTTCCTAATTGTGTCTTTAAACGTTTAACAAATGTTACTAATTCAGAATTCTTTTGAAGTAAATATTGATGCAACTTTGATCTGTGCAATGAATTGTTGCTTTTCCACTCAGAAAATGGAATTTTGTGGTAGAAAATGTGTGCTGAATTTTACAATTTGACAAGTAACCATCCTTGTCCCATAAGGAATTATATGTTGGTTACATCCTTGGCCTAAATACGAACGAATGAAGTAAGATGTATGTTAATTTGTGAAAAGTGCATCCAGTGTTTGATCTAAAATGTTATCTGGTAATAAATGGCGCATTCTAAAATAGTTCCATCTCGGATATATGCATCAATGTCTAGAACTTGACTGGAATATCTGTCTACCACAAAACTGTTTTGCAATGTCATGGGTAATTTTTAAAACTTTGGAGCTAAGACAAGTCATTTTATACACAATTAGACTGTAGGGAGAAATGCTCAAGAATTTGGCCCTGCTTGTCATTTGATAAATGACTTATCATGGATATTTTCAAAAGAAAATGAATAACTTGAGCGAAGTGAGTCCAGCCCAATAAGAAAGCTTCTTCTCGGTCTAGCCAATCATCACTGTTTTAATGTCAAGTTCCCTAACTAGCCCAGTATTCTGCTGGAGGAAATCATGTGCTTCACAATTTGTTCAGGGTTCCTGCAATTGCAGTCAGGTGAGGTTTTGAGGTGTTATTTATACACGAGGTGGCCATGTTGTGTCATGTCTACATTCTGTTAGGGGTTGTCCATATGCTGTGTGGAAGATTAAATCCTTGTTGAAACGCAGGGTCGGAAACTGTTAATTTGGGAGAGTGGTTTCTGCACAACTTTCCTTTTGTGTATCACCAGAGTTGTGGAATTGGAAATATTTGATGTTTGTCCAGGGAGAGCTTCATTAGACAAATGATGAGTTTCAAAGTCTTGAGGTTTCTGTGGATTGGAAGACTACGTTGCTATTTCTTTGTGTCTTGCTGTGTTCCATCGAGTAGGAGCTGGGGCAATATTTGAGATGACTGACTCGATCTCAAGATTTGCGATCATTATTATTACTGAATGAAGAGAGATCGGTGTGATGACTTTAGCCCCATGCGGCTGCGCATATTCTACTATTAAGGGTCACTCCGTGATAGGTGGAAGTTTGCTTCTGCATTTTTCCTCCTTCACAAGTGACATTTTAAGGTGCTGTGTGCCTTGCAGTTTTCAGGATGGAATGCAGAAGTAATGCATTTGTCTACGTTTGGTTGCGGTCTCAGCCATTTTTCACAAGTCAAAGTGTAACATCCTTCCCGCATCCTGGAAGGATTTCATCCCAGGTAAAAAGGCAACATTGTTGATGTAAATAATTTTTTTTTTCCAGAATTTTGCAATGGTCATGTAGAAGCTAATGTAGAACTATAAAATAATTTGATGTCAGGACCTATGGAAACCATTGGTGTGTTTCTGGAGTACTGACTTTATCTTGTAGGTACACCTTCAGAAATGTCCATAGCAACCAGAGGAGTTTGATACATGGTAGGAGTAAGGGAATATTTTCGCTTAAGTCCATGTTTCCAAATAATATAATTGGCTGGTGAAAGATGCCTGCAAGTGGCTACAACCTTTTGCTTATAGTAAAAACAAGGCTGCATGTTTGCAGTAGGCTAATAACTTTTTAAAAATCATTTAATTAAATAGAAATGTAGATGAGGAGTACTTTAAAAGCTGAAAGCTACTTAGTCAGTGGGCAGAAGAAGAACTTCAATATAAATCAGACTCTTCCAACATGTCGGAGAAAGTTTTAGGACCCTTGATTTTCTGAATAATGATGTTGAGGGCAAACTATATTCTGGGACAATGTCCTGGAAGTAATCATTAAAGATGACACTGGATATCTATTGACTAAGATGATCAAAGTCAAGTTTCTTTGGCGTCTACATGCTGTGGATCCTTAAAGTGCTCCATAGAACCAATTCATATGATTAGATGATATTGATCTTTGTTAGAAATTTCAAAATTTTAGTAACAATAACCATGAGTGAGTTGGTAAATGCTTGATGCATTCTGCTGGATTGGAAAAGAAATACTCAAAGGATGACAGCCTAACCTGAATCTTTTTTCAAAATTTGATTTTCAATCAGAATTAAGTATCAAAAGCAAATCTGAATCTTCTGTACAATCATTTATAAAGCACAGATGCTATGATTTCAGAAGGGGATATTTAAAGCTGCAACATCACATGCAAAGTGTGTAGGAAGTAATGTGATAACATATTTTCCTCTTCAGTATTCAAACCTAAGACAGGTGTCAACGTTTGTCTATCGCTCTCTTGCGCCTTTCTGTTGTTAAAGAATAGACGTTATCCATTTAATGTCAACTTCATCCTTCAGTTCCCATTCATGAATTTATCAGGGAGTAGATAAACTTGGCAAAAGAATGACGAAAGTATTCAAACACACCAGTAAACCTACAGGTCCCTGTAGTGAAAATCACGACCAGTGAATAACATTTGTAGTACTCCAGTAAGCCAGACAAACCACACATTGAACACATAACTGGTTTAGTTAGAAACAGATTGTGTGGCCTTGTGCAAGGTGCAATTTAATTCTTTTGGCTGCTTCAGTTTCTAATCTTGCCCAATTCTCAGATATTCCAGTAACAGTAAATAGTATGGTTACATTCACACTTGTGTGTATAGGTTTGAAAGCATTAATACTGAAGAGCTACAAGCATCATTTTTGACACATGAACTTGTGGAAAGAACAGCTTAGTACCATGATGGAGTAGAACCTTCTTGAAGTCTCTAACAGTGCCTATCGTATCAATGTAAACTATTGCTACTTGGTAACATGCAACAGGTTAGATCCTGTCATCTACAGGAGACATTTCAAGTTAGACCAGCAAGTAGTTTTCTCTTATCATAACAAGCCTTGTAGTTTCTACACTTAAAAAGGACAGTGACAACAATCTTCTTCATGAGCAGTTGTTCATACAGCGTAGTAATCTGACATGCACATACAATGACGATTTTTTTTTGGGAGGGTGGAATTTCATTTAGATAAGTCAGATCTAAAAGTAGTTGTAAGCTTTCTAGTTCTCACTTTTTTCATGAATTTCTTAAATGAATTGTTTAAGTTATAGTGGTGCTTGAAAATAGTGTTAGTTGTTTATGGTAAACTTCTAACGTTTACCAATATGAGACTTAAGCTCTTTTTAGTATTATGAAGGCACTTGCCTGTAATGTGAGCTTCAGCTTTCACCAGGATGTCTACAAAGACTCGTTTAAGAACCTTTTTTAAGAACTTGGTTTCCACAGTCTAAACCTGAAAATAGCAACAAAAATACAAGCTGAGGGCATCGAGTTAGTCTCCAGAGACACCAAAAATAAGTTTGAATGTTTTATCATGAAAAGTTTGGTATCAAATAAACATTTAACTATGCACTAGATAAATGCAACAACCAGTATTTGCAATTCACTTTTAAGTACATTGGAAATCTTATTTAAATTTTAAATAAGTAATTAGTAACCATCATTTTTACAAATCCTGCTTTCAGTGTTTGCTTAAAATTTTTGCTTCCATCCTAGATGTAAAGATTGACGTGGTTTATACAAGTGTGACTTTTCTAATCTTGAAGTTTGCCGTTTTGTGATGTAAGTTGTGTGATTTGTTTATATTTTAATGTTTAGTTTTGAAATTGGATTTTTTGTTTTAAGCTATCATAAGGTGCTTGTGTATTGGAAGGGGATTAATTATTTCTGTTATTAGTTATTAGTTATTTTAGTTCTATTAGTTATTTCTGTAGCCATTCTGGCTTCTTTTTTCACTGTGTAAGAGAGTGCCTCCAAGAGTTAATGAGGTTTTGGGAGAGCTTATGAAGGAACAAAGTATACAGTGTAGTACATCAGGCTTTCTTAAGGACAATTTTGGAGTTGTTTATTAAACTTGGGGGAGCTCCCATAACTTGATGAGAAATATTTATGCCAGTTTGGGGAAGTCCTCTGAGTTCTTAGCTAATAATGGATCTGTAAAACAGTTCTTCCTGAGAAGAGGGCAAGGCAAATTAAATTTGTTTTAAATATAGATTACCACAGTAAGGAGTTTAGTAATAGTTCCAGACCAGAAGTTTTGGATAAAAACCCGAAGGGATTTTTTTTTTGAAAGAGTTGAAAGGTGGGTAAGGTGAGATGCTCTGAAGGTCAGTGTGGACTTGTTGGGCCAAAGGGCCTGTTTCCACACTGTAGGGATTCTGAGATTTAAATTTGGCTATATGAAGGCTCCAGGGAAGAGGCTGTTGGTTTCTCCAGACTGAGAGTTGAAGTTAGCTAAATTAAGAAGATAAAGGTTATAGAGAAAGGGACTCTCTCTCTGGCATGAGTACTGTAGAAAAATGATTTTGGGATCTTTAGAGGAGTGTTGTTTGAATTAATGGGATTATATTTCCACCGTGTTTCAAAATCTTTGTATTATATGTAAATATTCCAGTTTGTTTTATCATGCTTGCTTTTGCATAATAAATTTGTTTTATTGTTAAAACCGAATCCTGCCTGTATTTTAGTGAAGGATTACCTTGTTGAAACCAAACCAAAAAATATTTTTCAAGTCAGATTTCAGTCTGGAATCTGATTTGCCTGGTAATTATATAAGCTGGGACCATAACAGCGAAAAAGCCATTGAATTTGAATTAGAATAGTGGTTTTCATGTAAACAGTTTTGCTGCCAAAATTGCATGTGACGTGGGAACTGTTTAAAGGCTTGCTGGAGAGAGTTCATGACCAGCATGTTCCAGTAAAGAGGAAGGATAAGCATGGCAAGGTAAGGGGACCTTTGGTTAACGAGGGAGGTTGTGAATTTAGTCAAAAGGGAAAAAGAAGCATATGTACGGTTTAGGAAGCGAAAATTGGTCAGGGCCAGTGAGGAATATAAGGGAAGCAGGAAAGAACTCTAGTAGAGAATTAGGAGAGCAGGAGGGGCCATAAAATGACCTTGGCAAGTAAGATTAAAGAGAATCCCAAGGTATTCTACAAATGCATTAAAAACAAGAGGATAACTAGGGAGAAGGTAGGACCACTCAAAGATAAAGGAGGGAAATTGTGCTTGGAGGCAGAGAATGTGGCTGAGATCCTAAAATGAGTACTTTGTATCGGTATTCACCCAGGAAAAGGATATGGAGGATAGTGAGATTTGTGTGTGGAGCATGCTAATATGCTAGGGCATTTTGAGATCAGGAAAAGTGGTGTTGGATCTCTTGAAGAGCATTAAGGTGGATAAGTACCCAGGACCCAATGGTATCTACCTCAGGTTAATGAGAATGGTGAGACAGGAGATTGCTGGGGCCTTGACCAAGATCTTTGTATCCTCGCTAGCCACTGGAGAGGTCCCATAGGTTTGACAAGTAACTAATGTCATTCCTCTGTTCAAGAAGGGAAATAGGGATAATCCAGGAAACTACAGACAGTGAGTCTCACACCAGTGGTTGGGAAGCTATTGGAGAGAGTTCTTAGGATTTATGCACATTTGGAAAAACATGGCCTAATTAGGGACAGTTGGCATGGCTTTGTCCAGGCCTGGTCAGGTCATGTTTTACTAACTTGATTGAATTTTTCAGGGAGGTGACGAATGTGATCGATGAGGGTAGAGCAGTGGATGTTGTTTACATGGATTCTAGTAAGGCTTTTCGACAAGATCCCTCATGGTAGGCTCATCCAGAAGATTAAGATGCATGGGATCTACGTGACTTGGTTGAATGTGCCTGTCCATAGAAGACAGTGGGTTTTGGTGGAAGGGTGTTTTTCAGGCTGGAGATCCATGACGAGTAGTGTTTTGCAGGGATCCGTACTGAGACCTTTGCTGTTTTGTGATTATATACAAATGACTTGAATGAAAATATAGATGGGTGGGTTAAGTTTTCAGACAATACAAAGATCAGTGAAGTTGTGCATAGTGTAGAAATTTGTCAAATGGTACAGAGATTCAGATGGTTGCAGATATGGACGGAGAAATGGCAGATGGGGTTTAATCTTTGTCAGTGAGTGGTGCTACACTTTGGGAGGTCAAATGTTAAGGAAAAGTATAGAGTTAATGGCAGGACTCTGAACAGCGTTGATGTACAGAGGATCTTGGGGTTAAAGTCCATAGTGCTCTGAAAGTAGCCACGCAAGTAGCTAGGTTGGTAAAGGCAGCATATGGCAAGCTTACCTTTTATTGGTCGGGGAATTGAGTATAAGTACAAGAGTCAGGATGTCATGTTGCAGCTTTATTATACTTTGGTTAGGCCACATTTAGAGTATTGCATTCACTTCTGGTTGCCACATTACCGGAAGAATGTGGAGGCTTTGGAGAGGGTGCGGAAGAGGTTTATCAGGATGCCGTCTAGGTTAGAGGGTATGAGCTATAAGCAAAGGCTAGAAAAACTTGGGTTGTTTTCTCTTGAGCGACGCAGGCTGAGGGGAGACATGGTAGAAGTCTAAAATTGAGATGCGTAGATAGGGTTGATGGTCAGAATCTCTTTTCCCAGATTTGAAATGTCTAATACTAGGGGGCATGCATTTAAGGTTAGAGGGGGAAAGTTCAAAAGAGATGTGAGGGGCAAGTTTTTTACAGTGATAGGAGCCTGGAACATGCTCCCGGAGACAGATACAGTCAGGGCATTTAAAGGACTTTGAGTTAAACGCATGAGTATGCGAGGAATGGAGCGATCACAAACCAGTGGCAGGCAGAAGGGATTAGTTTCATTTGGCGTCATGTTCAGCACAACATTGTGGGCCAAAAGGCTTGTTCCTGGGCTGTACAGTTCTATGTTCTATGGTTTGTGGTTTAGGATATCAATAATTCTATGATTATTTTAATTCACAGCTCAACTAAAAGATATCATTTACCTCAAAGAAATCTGAGATTCGAAGAGCCTCTACTTTCCTAAATGGAAACTGATTATTCATGCAGAATGTATGTTGCAAATTCATATTGAAGATTCATACAATTTTGTCAAAAGATGTCAGCTCAACTAAACCTTTGTTTAATCCAGAGAGCAACGCCTAATAATTTGTGTGTTTTCAGTATGGGAACCATGTGTTTGAGAATTTTAAATGCTAAATATCAGTACTTTATTTATGAATAGTCCACAAACCAGGTTCTATAAGCTAGAAATATCGACCAAAAATACTGGAAATGTTTTGGGTTAGGCAGCATCTGTGGAGTCAAAGAATTAGATGTTTGTAAAATAAAAATCAAAAAGTTATGTGTTCTTTAAAAGCTCTGTATTCCAACTTCGCCCTTTTAAAACCATATGCATGGTACAATCTTTATTGCATTTTATTTGAAATGGTAAAAATATGAATTATAAAACTGTTTTTCATTTGTTGCTTTTCTCTTTTTTTTTAAAATTGGCTGATCAGCCTGCTTTCAGATTTGTTCTGTTGCTAGATGCCACAGTTGGTGTGAATTTCAAAGTCCTATCAGAATAGTGGCAATTGATGCTCACAAACCTGCTGAATCTCCGAGGGTATCTTTCTTCAATGTCAGCAAGGAACGGCATTCCTTCACTGCAAAATTAGAAACTTCAAGTAATTTATGAATGCATGTTAATGTTATTTACTTTTGATCTCATTTCTGGAGTGTAAATTTTGATGCTGTTACCCTGCAAACCTAGAACAAATTGTGAATCCCTTTTTAGCTGTATTATTTTATTCCCTGGAGTTTGAGCATCACTGGCAATAGCAGAATTTGTTGCTCTTCTCAAATTTGAGAAAGATGGTGAGCAGTTTTCTTGAACTCCTGCAGTCCATATAATGTAGACTCACCCACAGTGCTGTCAGAACGAGTTCCATGTTTTTGATCCAACAACTGCAAAGGCAAAGTGATATTGTTCCAAGTCAGATTTGTTTGTGGCTGGGAAGATGCTACTGCCAGCATCTTTTTAGATGGTAAAGGTCATGGGTTTGGATGATGCTGTTGAAGAGGCCTTTGGAAAGTAGCTACAGTATATAGTTTAGGTGGTATACATTGCTACCACTTTGCTTTGATGATGGAGATGGTTAGGCAGGTTGTTTTGTCTTGGATGCTTTTGACTCCATACAGGCAGATTCCTATCTTCTAACTGGCTCTTGTAGCCATAGTATATTTATACAGCTATTTCAGTTTCTGTAGTAACCCTCATGATGTTAGTGAAGGATTTAGTCGTGTTAATGCCATTTAATGTTGAGGGACTGGTTGGAGAAGTTCATTGTCTGACACTTGTGTAGTGTGAATGTTATTTGCTACTTGTCAGCCTAAATCTGAATGTTGTAAAGGTCTTCCTCGTTTGGGCATGGGCCGATTAATTATCTGGGCGTTGGGAATGGTACTGAATGTTGTGCAGTAATCAGCAAACATCCCTACTTCTGACCTTAAGATGGAGGGGAGTTCATGGCTGAAGCATCAGAAGATGGTTATGATGATGACACCACCTTGAGGGATGCTTGCAGAGCTAACTTGGAACTTGGATGACTGTCTTGTAACAACTACAACCATCTGATTCATAACAGGTGTAACTCCAACAATTGGAGTTTCCCCCCAATTCCGATTGACTCCAGTTTTGTTAGGGCTCTTTGCTGCACTCAGTCAAATGTAATCCAGTGCCAAAGGCTTTTGGTCCCCTCACCTCCCCTCTAGGATTCTGCTTTTTTTTTGTCTATGTTTGAATTAAAGTTTTACTGAGGTCAGGAGCTGTGTGGATCCTGATGGAACCCGAACTGAGCATCAGTAAGAAGGTTATTGTCAACAATAATGCTTATAACACTGTTGATAACATCGTTCATCACTTCACTGATCAAGAGTAGACTGAAGAGGTAGTAATTCACTGAGTTGGCTTTATCCTTTTTATTGTTCACAAACTTAGGCAATTTTTCATATTGTTGGGTAGATGCTAGGGTTGCAGTTGTAAAGGAAGAGCTGGGTTAGCGGTGCAGAACATTCTGGAGAATGTCTTCAGAAATGCTGCTAGAATGTCATTAGTGCCCATATCCAGTGCCTCCAGCTTATACTTAATATCATGCAGAATGAATCAAATTGGTTGAAGACTTGCATCTGTGATGCTGGAGACCTCTCGGCAGAAATGGATCATCCACTTAGCACTTCTAGTTGAAGATTGCTGGAATTTTTTAACCTTTTTATCTTTTGTACTGATAAGCTGGGCTCTGCCATCTTTTAAGAATGGGCATTTTGGTTGATCCTCTTTCTCCAGTGAGTTTCTTAATTGACCACCACTATCTGTGACTGTATGTGGCAAGTCTGCAGAGCTTCACTATGACCCGAGTCAATGGGAAAACCTTCTCCTGAATTCCAGTGATTTCAGTTTTGCCAAAGTTACTTCATGCCATACTTTGTCAAAAGCAGCTTTCATGTTAATGATAGCCATGAATAACTTTCTCATTGTATTTTAAATGTTGTGAGACAGTGAAATGGAAGATTAAATTGTGAATTCTATCACTTGTTGGGTTATTGGATTTGTAGATCAGAACGGGTCATTGTGAACAAGGTACATTGTAAAAAATATTGATTGGAAGTACCAATTAATCTTCAATCTTGTGATCAATAATGAATTCGGAACAAAACTTTTGTCTTCAATAATTATTTGTAATTAAACTAACGTTTTATCGTAACGTATTCAGTCTTTGTTCTCAAATGATTTATTAAGCCTTGAGATATTTTAGAAAAGGTATTGTTTTTAAATAATTGTGGAGTCCGATGTTAGAATTTGACTTGGTGCCAATGCGATACTAGGTTCACAGGCCACATGTCCGAACAATTGACTTTGATTCGAGCAGTAAAGGTCAAGTCACCGTAGTACTACCATGCCATAGGGCTGCTCTGTCTTCAGAGAGAGCAAGTGGTTTAACCGGAGGCTCACCAGCCTTAGACAAGGGGCGACGTTGAAAAGAAGGGTCCTTCCAGATGACCTCAGCTGGTTCTGGAATTGAACCCACACTGTTGGCATTACTCTGCATCACAAACCAGCTATGCAACCGGTTGAGCTGACTGACCCTCCAATCCTTGTGCCTGTTTTGAATTATCCAGGAACTTTGGGAGCCTGATAGTTTCCTGTTGCTTTTCCATGGCAGCATCTCGGCTGATCAGAGTTGTCTTGCCAACTAGTCACCACACTTTTCTCCTGTAGTATGTATTTGTTGAGTTTGTTTGTTTGTTTGTTTGAGATTTCACATGCTTTTTTTCCTGATGAATGTAAGATGATAAGTTTTGGCATCAAGCAGCCTTTCCAACAATGTTGAATAATTTGTTTTGTTACGGTTTCTGTTATGCTGATTCAGCATTGTGTGGTAGGCTGATTTAGCATTGTGGTAGGCTGAAGTCAGCAGATTGAATGGACATGACTTTCTCTACATAATGTTTCTGTCTTAGTTCACTATAACTTTGGGTTGCTGATTTTATTCCTCTGCCTGATTCTTTTTTTTGTTCTGAACGGATTATAGGATTAATGCTTGATTCTCACGCTCTTCCCTTGATTAGTAATTTCTCCAATCATCACAACTACAACATAGTGAGGCTGGCTTATTTTCATAGTCGCCCTACTATTGTGATGCTTTAAAGGATCAAAGGTTTATCTCTTTGTCCTGATGCAATCAGTTGCTTATTCTGCATTTCTAGTACCATACAAGTACTTTGAACATAAAATGCAGTGTCTTTAAAGCTTCTAAAATTCTAGGTAGTTTTCATAGGTGCATCCGAAACAGCCCAACCTTCGTCACCCATAGAAACTTTGTCAAAGGTTACACAACCCTGTACTGGTCATTTAAGAGCCAATGGGGCCTAAATCGAATGATGCAGCATCTATTTCTTTGATGTTTTCTTGGCCATATAAAGCACTAAGATGTGGACCGAAATACATGCGCAGAAAACCGCTTTGATGAACCAGTATCAGCAACGTATAGAGCATTAAGATGGAAAAAGTGATTTGAAATTACTACTGCCTTCCAAGTCTAAACTGAAGCCAAATTGTTCCCTTAACCTTGCATACCTGAACATAGTGTTAATTTCAAGAGCTCATGAAATACTTGCTGGATTTTTTTTTTAGCTAATGGTGCAATTATGTGCATTTTTGGAAGTCTCCTCAACTTGATTACTCTACAAAGGTTGGTTCAACTGGTCTTCCAGCACCTTTTTCAGGATTTTGTAATAATAAAAGAACAGCTTTCAATCATGCTTTTCCCAGTCAGGATATTCTTGGATATTGAATATTGATTTGTTCTTGAATGTTGACTATAACCAGGAAACAAGGAAGATGTGCGCACTGGAGAAAGTTCATGTGGAGTAAGGTTTAATCATGCCATTACTAGAAGAGTAGTTACTGAGCATGTTTGAAGAGAGTAACATCATAGTGAAGTCAGATCATGAGACACTTAGGCCTGTGTATATTGTCTCATCAGGATGTACTGTCTTGTCGTGCCCTGTAAATAATTATCCTCAGTAAAGTCTGTTAATGTTTACTCCCAACAGTGTAGACCTTATTGCAAAGTAGCAGCAGTGACCTGACCTACAGAACTGGAGGCAAGTGCACTAAGAGTCCAAAGTGAAACCTGGTGACCATATGGTGTTAAGGGTAAACCATGAGGCCAATGTAGTCATCTGATCTATTAGGTCGGAGAAATAGCTGAAGATATGCTCAGTGATAACGGGAAGCATAAAACAATAAGTTTGGAGTTCAGTGTGTACGTGGGCCTCCAAAGGGGAAAACGTTGCAAAGGCACAGGAGAGGCCTACAGCAAAGTGCATGGCAAGCAACAAGACAAAAATCAATCAGCTACTGGTGAACAAAACATTTAATACGTTGGAGGTCTTTACTGGACTGTGAGAGAAGCTCACAGTAACAAGTGTGTGAAGAAACCGGCCATAGCTGACTTTATTAAAAGAACCTCACCAATGGATCTTGACCCAACTGTATCGAGGGTTGAGAGTGCCAGAAGAGACTGTCTTAACTGCAACAACAACGGATAACATTTAACACAGACCATAGCAGTGTGTGGGCATCCCAGCAGTAGCGGACATAGAGGGGCAGGGTGATTAACTATTCCCACAGGATGTGGCAGGTCGACTGCAAGAATTAGATTCTCTTGATTATGTGCAGCCATAAGGCAAATTCTGGTCTGCAGAAAATCCCAATTTTAAATTTGTTATGGAGAAGATGTATCAGTTCTGTGAGATCATAAAACAGTTCAGGCCAAAAATTCTCAGACCACCTTCCATTCGCTTTCGGTACACAGGAAGTACTAGAATTGGTGAAAAGGTGGGTTTATGCTATATTTCATAACAATGGGAAAGATTACAAAAATTGTAATTGTCACTTCTAAGCGGAGCCCAGAGCTGTAAAATTGACTTATCTCTCTCTCTTTATAATTTAAAAAAAAAGAAATTAAAGTATTGTGGAAGGGCTGTTCCTCTGAACTTTGTTTGTTTGTTTCTTTCTTTTCTAATTTAATACTGTGATTTTATACTTTAAGGTCTGTAATGCTGGACACTTTAAAATAGAAAAATAAAGAAATACTTTCTAAGAATTTGTACTCGAGTCTGTACCTAAGATGGTGCCATAGGTGATGACTTGTAAGCTTTTGACTTTTGAGTACATGAGAGAATAAAGCTAATTCAGTTCAGTGTTGAAGGGCCTCTTCTGTTGCTGACGTTGTTAAGTTCATAGAATCATTGATTTTATAACCACATTGTGGTGTTAAATTATCAATATTCGCTACAGAAGAAAGATATCATCAATATCAGTAACAAATTTGACTGCAAGGATAAGCTAACATAAAGAAATTTCTTCAAGAAACCCAGCTGGTGATATTTGCCTTTAACGCTTTTTACCTGTTTGAGAATTGCAGACAGCAGGCTGGTTGAAGAGTAAGAACTGTAGTTTGTCCCTCAGTTGACCTGCCTATTATCAGTTTTCTAGCAAAGTGCTAGTAGCTGTCCATCCACATGAAAATAACTGTTAGTTTTTTTAAAATCACTTAAATTAATATCTGTAAAATGTACTTGATGGTAAAACCATTATTCACTAAACATTTTAGCGACATGGCTCACAAAACCAAAATCACATTTTTCTTGACGTTTTGTGCCAACGTGCTGAAATTTTGATTTGCTTTCCTATCACTCCCACCCCCTTAAGCATTCAATTTCTTAGGTATTGCTGTATAATTATCCCAAAGCGTGAGTTCATGCAGATTTTGCTTTTAACGTTAGTTCTGCACTCCTGTGTCTTTTTTATGTATTGATGGGGAAAGCAATCTTTGTAAAAGTTACAGATAGTAGGAACTGCAGATGCTGGAGAATCCGAGACAACAAGGTGCAGGGCTGGATGAACACAGCAGGCCAAGCAGCATCATAGGAGCAGAGAGGCTGACGTTTCAGGCCTAGACCCTTCATCAGTTACATCCCTTTAATCCACAAACTCGTGAAACAAAAACAAAGCGATGATGACATTTAGTTTTTTTCATTGACATAGTAGCTTCAATAATTGTTTTAAATTGGTATGCTCTATTAAAACTATACAAACAGCTCCTAAAATGCTGACGATGCCAAATAGAGTCCGAGATGTACGTTACGGAAACAAACCCTTCGGTTCAACTCGTCCATGTCGACCAGATATCCTAAATAAATCTAGTCCCATTTGCCAGCATTTGGCCCATATCCCTCAAACTTCCTATTCGTTTACCCATCCAGCTGCCTCTTAAATGTTGTAATTGTACCCACCTCCACCACTTCCTCTGGCAGCTCATTCCATACACACACCACCCTCTGCGTGACAAAGTTGCCCTTAGGTCCCTTTTAAATCTTTCTCTTCTCACTTTAAACCTATGCCCTCTAGTCTTGGGCTCTCCACGCCCCAGGGAAAAGACCTTGTCTATTTATCCTATCCATGCCCCTCATGGTTTTGTATAGGTCACCCTCAGTCTCCGATGCTCCAGGGAAAATAACCCCAGTCTTTTCAACCTCTCCCTTTAGCTCTAACCTTCCAACGCTGGCAACATGCTTAAATCTTTTCTGAACCCTTCCAAGTTTCACAACGTCCTTCCTACAACTGGGAAATCAAAATTGCATGCAGTATTCCAAAAGTGGCACAACCAATGCCCTGTACAGCCGCAAACCTCCCAACTCCTCCTTAACTCCCTAACTGACAATAAAAGCTAGCGTACCAAATGCGTTCTTCAGTATCCTATCTACTTGTGACTCCACTTCCAAGGAACTTTGAACCTGCACTCCAACCTCCAAACTGCTGTTTGTTCAGCAGCACTCCCCAGGGCCTTACCATTGTGTATAAGTCCTGTCTCGGATAACAAGGTGTAGAGCTGGATGAACACAGCAGGCCGAGCAGCATCAGAGGAGCAGGAAGGCTGACGTTTCGGGCCTAGACCCTTCAGAAATGGGGGAAGAGGAAGGGGGTTCTGAAATAAATAGGGAGAGAGGGGGAGGTGGATAGAAGATGGATAGAGGAGAAGATAGGTGGAGAGGAGACAGACAGGCCAAAGAGGCGGGGATGGAGCCAGTAAAGGTGAGTGTAGGTGGGGAGTTAGGGAGGGGATAGGTCAGTCCAGT